GGTGGGCGACTTGCCCCAAACCAAACCCATTGTCGCTGAGTTGCTTCCAACTCACAGCAATCCCACAAAGGAGAACTACTCTGTAGGGTTTCCCAGACTGGGAATTGGCCCAGAAGCAGACGGCCACCCCCGAAGGGCAGCTGGGGGGCTCAAATCACCAGCCCTGCTGTGAGCAGCCGACCGCTTAGCCACTGTGCCACCAGGGCTCCTCTGATGGGCAAGGAGGTTAGTCCAACTCTGCAGCGATTACAAACAGTAGGTCAACAACTGGCCTCTCCTCCCCGGAGTTCATTTCCCACGTGTGGGATTATCTGAGGGATACAGAGCCAGGACTGGGGTGGTTTGGCGCAAAGTTAGGCAGCTTTGCTGGATATGAAGAGATTGCCCACCGATCGTCAGCGCCAGGCTCCTTCACCACGGTCATGGGAAGGCACAGGGTGCGAGCACGTCTTTCGCCATGGGCTGTGAGACAGGTGGAAGCGGCTTCCTTTGTAATCCTCGTGTGGAGAGCGAGGCTGGGGGGCCTTGTCAGATGCTCACGAGGCTCCTGGCATTTTGTCTGGTAAATTGTTACCATGGAGAGCTTGGCGGGAGGGGTGTGAGTTTAGGTGCTGGGCGGGGAGCCCCACTGTTGCCATGTGGGGTGCGGCCCCCCATTTTCCAGGTCATGCAGATGTCGAAGGAAGCCGGGCATCTGGATCATTATGAGAAATGTCCTACTGTTTGAATTCTGACCCTTATTCAAAACTAGTTGAAGCGTGGTGCCAGGCCAAGCAAGGCAGGCCGGAGGAATAGATTCAGAGCCCGGCATCATCGTGTAGAGGGTCTCCCAAAGGCCAACCCCCACTCTCCACAGAGGGCTCGCTGAGGAGCCTGGCACCACCACGGGGGACCCCCCCCTCCGTGCTGGGCTCAGCTCTCATCCAGTCAGCTCCAAGCGGCACCGGCCCGTATGCACATTCACCAGCCGGTTAACTTTCCGAAGTGCATCTCCTGAGACCCTCCCTGTGGGTGGGGTAAGCCGACCACCTTTCATGTGTACCCAGTGCTGTTTGTGACATTCTGACAACCATTGCCAGGAGGCCTGGAGGCGTGTGTGGTAGGCGATGGACGGCCAACTCCAAGGCCTGCTCTTCAACGCCCCAGCCGCTCTGCAAGGAAAGGCTGGGGCTGCTCCGTGAAGCGTTACAGCTCGGACACCTGCTAGCAGGTTCCATGAGTCGGAATCAACCTCAGGGCCTGGGCGAGACTTCCACGCGGCTTCCCCATCTTGGACGCCCAAGGGCAGCGGTTCTCAACCTGTGGGTAGTGACCCCTTGGGGTTGAATGACCCTTTCACAGGGGTCAGCCGAATCATAACAGTAACAAACTTACAGTTATGAAGTAGCAACGAAAATAATTTTACGGTGGGGGGGGGGTCACCACAACATGAGTCTCAGCATTAGGAAGAAACCCTGCCCGCCGCGGGGAACAGTTTTAAAGCGCCCCCCGGGGTGCCCTAGGACTGGATTGGCCCCACAGCAGTGGCTTTGGTTTGCATGTAACCATCTGCTAAGAGCCAAAAGCCCGTCTGTGGGGCAGGCCTCCTACCCTTCCTGTGTGCATGAGAATCCCCGCGCGTCTGGTCACACTGCGGATCCCCATCTTCTGAGGAGTGGGGCGCCAGGAGGTGAGCTCACCCGGAGCTCAAGGTAGTGCACGGCCACACAGCAAGCTACAGGCAGAACTGTGTCTCCACA